CCCCGCCACTCACTCTCTCTCGCTCTTTCTCTCTCCATATCTATTCATCACCCTCTGCTTCTCTCATCTGCATACACGCTACGCCTGCAGTGCCCGTGCAGGCGCTATCGCCGTGCCGCGCCACTTGAGGGGTCAAAAGCTTGCATCCACCTATCCGGGCTTAGATCGTTTGTGTTTGGGTCTTAGATCGTTTGCGCATAGCCCAGGTGTGAAACAGATCGTTTTGTGCTTGGTGTTTCTGGGTCAAGGACTTTGCTGCCTCCTGCCGGTTCTATTGTGCTTCAGTGTTCAGCTGGCGACTAAAGTTTTAAAGCCAGAACTCAAGAGGCTGACAAAGTGGCTGTGGCGGTCTTAGTGCGGGGGTTGCGGTTGCCACAGGATGTATGCGGGGCCCTGAATCCGGAGCCCTGCGCCCTGATGCATTGACAATACGTAGCATCTGGCGTCTACTACTTCTTACGTCGTGCTGTCACGCGCTCCTCCATTCACAGGACCGAAAGCATGCTTCCCCGCGAATGCCCAATACTTGGGGGTGGGTAGTAAAATGGGACTGGATTACATGGCATTTGATAAGATGGAGGTCCAGCACAGGGCATGATTCGCAAAGCTTCACAGTCAGCCATGCCCGCAGAGCTTTGCAAAACCTGCGTGCCAGCACAGGACAATATTGTAGTCGCCCACCCCGACACTTAGTCTGGGGTCTAGTGTAGGGTCCTAAATAATTACCTATACTATTTTGGAGGTTCCTTGTTATAATTTATAATTCTAGTAGAATGGGCCCCAAACCCTATTCTAATTATTAAGGCCTCTATATTTCGGCTTCCTGGTGATGTGGAATGGGGCAGAGTAGAGTAGCGCTTTCTTGGCCCGGCGGTCTTATGCCCTTCCATAGCTCTAAAGAGTATCGGAACCATTCAGCAGATACTGCTGCATCCCCAGTGCATTGATAGTCTCATCTCATTGCTGGACACAAACGCATGTTCTACCTGCCGGGTGATGCTGCGGTAACACCCGAACTTACAGTGACTTTGCCTGCCTTGTGTAAGAGTGGAGACGTCATTTTGGGCAGGCCCAGCCAAGGGAGGAGTGCCGAAGCCAAAGTAGCCTTGCACGCCATGGTCTCGATTTGTCGTTCGATGGTGCAGAACTAGGTTCTGGAGAAACAGCCGGTATGGTATCAATGAGAACGACGGCCTGGTGCCGCTTCATTCTCGGTACTGGCATGGGGAGGACAGAATCCGCGGACGGGTGCAGTCCATGCAAAATGCCCTTGTCGAGCCCTGGAGGAGTTCACAGCTGACGAGCTCCAGAACCGCAAGAGCAGCACGCACGAGGCGCTCGCCGTTCCACAGTCCAGGGCCGTGCCTTGGGTTACAGGATGGTCGATTGCTCTTGTTACGTTTCGGTTACGAGAAGCTCTTGACGAGAGTAAGTGCACTCGTGGCCGACTCGTGGCCTAAGGCAGTGACGAAGAGTTATCTCTAACCTCGCTTAGCTCGCCTAGCTTGTCCGAGAGTCGCCGAAACCTTCTAATCCTACGTCTTCCAGCAATCGCAACTAAAAGGTCCGGGCTCTCGGCTTACGGAGGATCCTCGGGTTTCCAGCTGGTGCATATGAACTCTCGGAACTTGGGCGGATGCTGAGCATGCAGCATGCTCATGATGGTGGGGGCCTGGGGCTGCTCGCTGTCTGGTAGTTCGGTTTCTTGGTTGAAGTTCAGCTCGCTTCGATATGAAGGCTTTCCACTAAGAACATACATAACATAGACATAAGTACAAATGTAGCTACGTAGTCAAAGTAAACTTAAACCCTATACATGTAAACATGTACTCAAATTGAAACTTAAGCATATTTTGTTTGGTTTCTTTGTTGAGTAGTTCTTTCGGTTGGAGCATAGACTGCTAGCTGTCTAGTTGAATTCTCATTGTTCCATAGTTTGTCCATCTTGTTCTTCTTACTGTTGTTATCGTTTTGTTATGTTACCATGACGGTTTTTGTCAATGTTGCTAGTACTACGATTGCCGACATTCTTCATGTTACAGTTTGGATAGACCCCGCTGATATTGCCGCTGTGCAATGTGCGAAGCAGGGCTGTTTTTCAGACATGTGGAGTCAGATGGCACTCCAGTCCAACTTGCCGATCACCTCGGCAAGCACATGGAGGAACCCTCTCAGATTCTTGTTGCCGGGATATTGGGCTGCTGTTTCATTACTTCCTTATCCACGCAGGAGGCGAGCCTCTCCGACGGGAGTTGGTTGACTGTCCCCAGCCCACCGCGATATAGCGCAGTATGTAGCTTCGAAACATGTATATATGGTAGGCTACGACCACGAACATCATACGCCTTGAAACCACCGAGACTCCCTGTGGTTGAGGCAGTTCGCTACTGTTGCGGGCCCGGTGCTCCGCGTCGATGGCTCCACCGCACCGGCTGGTTCTGGCACGATTCCGGGTGGCAATATTAAAGGGTCTGCGGGTTTCAGGACGTAGGACCGTACCAGTAGTTTTTGTTTCATGGTTTTGGGAGTTTGGAGGACGAAAGCCACTCAACTTCAAAGGCCTTGACTGTCAGAAGCAGTCTGACCAAGACAGCACCGTAGGCCCACAAGCTTGAACTTTGTAATGCTGCACCCTGCGAACTATCAAGCATCAGCTGCAGCCCAAAATCCCTGGCCCTGAACTAAACCGCAAACCTTGTAAGGGCAAGCGCCCTGTATTGCAGAGAGTTCTAAATCTCAAACCGACTAGCCTTAAACTCCATGCTTCAAGCCCGAAGACCCTAAACGCTGTTATCAAACGCCCTAAACACCGGAATCCTTGCCTGCCTGCTGCGAGGGTGATTGTCGAAACTCTAAACCAGGCTAGAGCCTTGGGCCCTGATCCTGAAGCCTAACTTAAGCCCTACAGGTCTGTAAAGCCGCACTCAAAGCCCCAGCAGCCTCGGCAGTTGTTAAAGCCCTGGTGTTTGTCCCATAGCCAGGAACGCCTCCTGGCAGAGCTTAGCCCATGGCTCAGCGGATCAAAGGTGTTCGGCTTGTGTACCCGTCCCTGGCTCCAGAGGGTGACTGAGAAGCACGATCGCTCATCCTCCCCCCACCTCAAGTCAATTCCTCCGGGAGGCCTGTGCTAGATTTTGATAGAACAGGACCAAGTTCCATCTCGTCTGCCATAGAGAGACGTCCATTAACGATTAATATAGGGGCCTTAATAGTAAGAATAGGGTTTAGGGTGTCTTATTATACTGTACTATAATTCTAATGAGGAACCCCCAAAACCCTAGTCTAAATATTAAGGCCCCTACATTATGAGAAGAAGAGACGCCTGACAAGACCCGCAAAGAGCAATAGAACGCCATGCCCTAGCTCGTCCCAAGCTTTCAGGTCCGGTGACGTCGGGGGCCCAGGGCCCAGCACACTACCAGCAGTCTCAAAAAGCCTGTCTCTGTGGGCTTTAAACTTGTCCTTAGCAGTTGGTGCTTGGTGGGGACTTCCGAGCTTCAGAAGTCAGCAGATCCGAGCCTGACTGTTACCCCAGCAGGCACCCAACTACCTCCATGTCTAGTTCTAGTACCACAGCGGAATCCATGCTGCCCGTGAAGCTGCCAGCCGCGTGCGAGTGTGAGAGTTCGTCGTGGGTATGGGGTGAAAATTGCCAAGTTGGTAACGAGCGCCGGAGGGAGCCCAGCACCCAAAATCGCAAAGCCCCATGTTCGATGTGGAGTTCGAGCTGTCCACGTCATAGACTTCGTCGGGTTTACACAGCAGGAGTTCACCGTAGTAACGACCCGTTCAGCAATCAAGAGCTGCTGGCTGCGACATTGAAAAAGCCTTAAATGCTGGATCCGCAAGCCGAAGCCCTGCCCAAAGCAGTGCCAGGAAGGGCTTTCTCCAAGCCGCTACGCTCCGGACGGTGGGCCAGGTCGGTAGGTATGCGCTTCAGAAGGTTTGCTTGGTTTATCGTGCCTGTGGGCTTGATGGCTTTGGGGTTTAAGACTTTATAGGGTCTGAAGAAAAGGACGATTAGGTTCATGGTTTGGCATGTGCACGTCAGCAGCAGCTTCCATCGAATCAAGCAGGCTGGGCTTGCGACGACGCTTCAGATTCTGGCGCAGCTCCGGCAGACAAGGCGGGCAGGTGCCCAGAACCCTCTATATATATATATATATATACTATATATACTATATATATATATATATATAGAGTGCCAAAACCCAGCATTTGGATTTGTATTCGGAGCGCGAACGAGGCAAGCTGCCCTGTTCACTCTGGAGTATGGAGAGCCGGAGCAACGCCCTCGGTGGAAGACGCTGCGCTACTCGCTAAGGCTCAGTTCAACCCTGTGACTGTGACCTAGCCTGAGCGCCGAAACTATCAAACGCAAAGCCTTGAAGCCTGAGAAGGGCCTATCCGCTTGGCGATGCACTGGCGGGCATGCCGATTCTGTCAGAATCTCTCCCAAACGGAGAGGCTACCCAAGGCCCCCAGGCAATGTAGTAGTGATCCTGCTAATCTCGTAACTTGACCGGAAAAGAGCCGACCTTTGTTTGGACTTCTGGTCCTTACCCGGCCGTTCCGAATCGCTTTACTCGGAGGCCCGTGACTAGACACAGCGCTGACAACAGAGGAGAAGGCCGGAAAAGGAATGAAGATTTTTGCGTTTAAGGTTTATCAAGCTTCAGGATGCTTTATGGTTGAGGTCCTTCCGGATGGAGGGTTGCGATGGCTTTTTGCTTTGAAGCGCCTGTGTGAGTTGTATCTTGCGGGCTGGGGTTTCTGGCTTGTGTTTGTGGGTCTTTGAGGCTCCGGCACAGTTTGCAAGGTGGGCGTTGGGGATGCGGGTGCGATGGGGAAACGGTCGAACTGCAATAACAGTAGGCAAACAAAACGAAACTGTCGAAGACATCGCTGAGCCCAACAGTCCCCCGGTCGGTGTACTGCCAACCATGTAAGCATACCGCAGTTTCTGCGGAAGAGGTCCCAATGACGTGGCAAAGGTCTTTATGGTTTCACTGCTGGCCGCCCAGAAGCACGATTTCCAGATGCCTGCAATCGGACATGTTTTTTTTGCTAACTATCAGATGTAAAGTAGAGTTTGCCGATTTACTTGGCTTATGAAAGACTTTTCTTCGGGCGTGAGCGTCGCACTTCCAAATTCTAGCATTGGTGACAAGCGCATGCGGTCAGGAGGTTTGAGACTTTCAGTTTCCAAGCCTGCATCTCAATTATTGTGCAGCGCGGTATTGAAGTGGTGACTGCAAATGTGTGCACTCCCTTGCCGGCGTGGACTGTTGGAGTGATTTGGAGTTCAGGCCCGACCTCCTGCATGTAAAGTCGCCATCCATGAGACGTACAGTGCTTAGTGTTATCGTATTGTCCAGTATATGATCATAACCGGTCTACTGCATATGTTACTATGTTATAGTATCTTATAGTATATTGTCGCATACAGCACGGCCTTTGCTGAGGCTGCCCTCTGCCAAGTGGCTGCTGCCGGAGCAGCGAATCTTGCACTCCGAGCTGACAGTGACTGAGAAGAGCTCAGTCAAGGCAAGGACTTTCCTGCCCTAGCGGCTTGGGCTTGAGGGTGTTCGGCACTCGGTACAACAGCCTGTGTGGTACTCGGCACGACAGCCTGAGCAAGATCTTGAAATGCCCACCCCGAATCCTAAGCTTCTGTGTGGCCAACACTCTGGCTGGCAATACTTTCGAAGGCGGCAGGAATTCAGTCGATCTAGCCTCGGAGGTGTATTGAAGAGTATTGTCATGCAGCAGACACCGCACAAGTGCAGGCCAAGTTAGTGTTTCTTTTTTGTTTATCGCGGTGTTATCTTGGCTTGTGAAAGATTTTGCCGCTGCATCATCATGGCACGCTGCAGACCTTTGCTTTTGTGGTCTGCCCTCACCTCAATGCTGTCAGTCACTGTAGAGCCGTGCAGGGGTTGGATCCCCCGTTGGAGCTCATCCCTTTCGAGAAGGGCGGCCGGCTTCGCCACACAGGATTTGGAGAGGCTGCTTTCTGTTCGGAGGCAAGCCGTCAAAAGCAAAAAGCAGCATGCGGCAAAGTTTCGGTGGGCAAGCGAGGCTGGCTGGTACCGAGCCTTGAAAATACTTCATCAACCTGCAAACCTTGGCTATGATGCAAGCCGCATGGATCGGGCCTGGTGGACGGCCAACATAGAGTCGGGTGAGTCGACAATAGATGTAACCTGCAGCGACTGTGGCTATGATTGCAAGAACACCACCTTGCACAATCTGCAGCGTGGTCAGGCACCTGGATGTTTCTGCAACGGGGCTATTCCCTGGTCCGGTCGAGCAGGGCATGCTCGTTGTCTT